ATCGCAATGTAATCTATCAGCACGTGACTGTACGCTGTTGCAATTCCTTTTCATAAAAAAGATGAGGAAATCCCAAAATATCTTAGTTTATACCCATTTTATTCACTGTTTCTGAAAATATTTCTAATACTGTATATTAGATTAAATCTACAGCATTTGTTCCGCACTTCTTCTAACGAAAACATTTCGCTAATATCAGTTTCATGAGGCTGGGGTGTGGTAATAGTGCCTTCAGCTAATAATGCAAAACGTGAAAAAAAACAAAAAACATTAAAAATAACACAAGTAATTAGGCTCCGCTAATATTAACAATGATAAAATGATACTGGAAAAACGATCCATGCAATAATGAAAAGTGGGAACAAACATTAACACATAAAAATCAGAGGTTATATATTTGTTTCCTCTTCGGAATGTATCAAAACCCGATTTGTAGCGCTATCAGCCTTCGGAGGGGGTCCTTTTTGGAATGAGGGGTATAAATTATTTCCACTTCGCATTATTACTGGTGCCATTTTTTTTCTTGGTCCATAAGGTTGTCTTGTGGGTTACAACACTTTATATCTGTAGCGGCCTACAAGAGCCAAAGTATACTTGAATTGCTATTATAAATTATGCCTTATTTCATTAAAATTATGATCATTCTTACTTATATAGAATATTACTTTAAATGTAAGGTAAAAAAGTGTACACTAAACTTGTCTGAGAAAGGAAGAGACAGCCAGGAACTACTGAAGACACAAACTTGCAAGTTTCTCGACATTTCGACCCAACTCTTTTTTTTTTTTGAAGAAGTTAATACTCCAATGATCATAAAAATAGCCTCAGTTCAATCGGTAGAGGATTTAACCCATAGAAAATCCTCTAAGGTGAAACTAGTAAAATAATGGGAAAGTTTCTCATTGGTGGTGATTTGTACACACACACTATCAACAAAATTTGGTATTGAGAAATATTAGTGATAGAAAAAGACAATAATGACAATTTTCTTATGGTAAAAGCCAAATTGGAAATAAACTTCGTGAACTCCTGAAAAATGTTTTTATCGTGATTTTTAAACAAAATAGACATTTCAGTGCACAAGACAAGTTTTACTTGGAAAATAAATGTCAATTTGATACGTTGTACGTTTTCATAGTATGTGTTAAATGTGTTTAAAGCGTTTTCACTATACAGGTTTCGGTCACATAAATAATCAGTCCTCTAAATGTTATGTTTGGTCAAAGGCTGGTTTAACTTTCTGTGACATCAGTATTATTCCATTAGGTGTAAAAATGAAACAAAAATATTAATGATTTGACCGCTATATAAATAATTGAAATGTGTATTAGCCACTTATTGAAAATATTCCAGCAAAAATGGCAGCATTAAATACTCAAACGAACATTAAAAACATTAATGATAACTCAAAAATGTTTTCTCTTTGAAAATTGATACCAAGAAAGCTGTTGCAATGGAAAATTTTAATAAAAAAATACACTCCATATCAAACAAATGAACTGTGATTCACCGATTGTTTTACCTTTAAAATATCTTTGTATAAATATGTATCTCTCATTAATATTTTTCAACGTCATATACAGAGAGAGGGTTACCAATAAGTCGCCTACACGTATGTAATTAATCCGCTAGAACAAACCTGAGTATTCTATACAAGGCAAAGACACCTTATGGTTAACTCTACACATAGTACTCCATACCAATACATAACGTAAGCCTAAGAACTACTTCATAATTATCTAAATAATTATCAATCAATATGAGACAAAATAACTTACGCCTCATTAAGCTAGATATAATAAAATATTTAATATTACTTCTTCAAACATCAAATAGGCACACAATCAATGAATATATTTTGCATATATAGATCTTTAAAAATAATCTGTAACAAAAAATAATTTATTTTTCTGATTCCTTAACATTGATGTCAAGTTAATAAAATGTTAGAATTATTTTGGAATATCAACTAATACAAGTGAATACTGATTATTATATATCTTTAATCAATTGTAATTCATTATTCTTTGTGCTACCCAAGGTTTTCAGTGGGCCCGGCATGGCCAGGTGGTTAGGGAGCTCGACTAGCAATCAGCGGGTCGCGGGTTCGAATCCCCGTCACACCAAACATGCTCGCCCTTTCAGCCGTGGGGGCGTTATAATGTGACGGTCAATCCCACTATTCGTTGGTAAAAGAGTAGCCCAAGAGTTGGTGGTAGTTGGTGATGACTTCCCTCTATACTCCTAAATTAGGGACGGTTAGTGCAGATAGCCCTCGTGTAGCTTTGCGCGAAATTCAAAACACAAACAAACAAACAAACGTTTTCAGTTAAATGATCCTTCTTAAACGGCCCCCCAGTGGCACAACGGGATGTTTGTGGACTTACAACGCTAAAAACCGGGTTTCGAAACCTTTTAGTGGGCAGAGCACAGATAGCCCATTGTGTAGCTTTGTGCTTAACTTCAAACAAACAAACAAACCTTCTTAAACGTGAGCCCCTTGCTGACTTAGCGGTAAGTACGAGAGCCAAAAATTGGTCTCCGACAGATTTCATTAAATGAAATCAAGAAAAGAAAAAGAATAATAAACGTACAACACGGTGCATTTCCAGTACATTCCTCATTATGACTGTGCCCTCCCATCCAGTGACTCTATAGATACTCATTATCTTAGCAGTATTGGTCATCCTGAGGTTCGCAGCCCCCAGCTTGTGAACAGGGGAGTCATTTCGGAAACCGATGAGTTAAGTTATTTCGATAGATATCGATGAATGAAGCTCGGCATAAATTCTAAAACGAAAACACAAAACAAAAAAAACTAAGTATCATGAACATATTACATGATGAAAGCTGTATTGATTATACTATGTTGGAACCAGCATTATACCATCCTTCTTATATCTAAACTTCATTTCAGAAATGGCATTTTTAAATTTGAGAATCGCTATGGAAATCATTTTGTAATACATCGTTCTTCTGTTTGAACTTCAACACTATATCTTTGAGCTTTACTATACTGTTAGTTTCACAAAATATTGAAAGTAATGATTTCTTATATATAATTCCAATTTCGTTTTTTGAAGATAACGATACTACAGTACCCATATTTTTTGTTCTTCTGTCAATGCAGTAATCAATTGATGAAGCTCCGATTCAATGGGGTGTCAAATCGATTAGGATATTATCGAATAAGCGCGAACGGTAGTGTGATGTAAAATTACACATACTAGAAATTTTCATAAACGTGACCCGAAAAACGGCACTAACTCAGTAACCCGTGGCCCGATTTTAACGAAACTTGTTTTATTCAGTTTCTATTCTCATTTCTCATATCTATTTTTATTTTTATTCTCATATTTTGCGGTGTTTTGCTGTATTTAATTACAGACAAGCAAACAAACAAAAATTCTGAGAGTTTTAGTAGTATATAGATAGATTGAATCTTGTGATTTCTTATATAAGATTCCAATCCTTTTTTGAAGATACCGATACTGTTGTGCCCGGTTTTTTATGTTTTGCAGTCGATGCAATAATCAATCGACGAATCTACGATTCAGCTGGTTTGTCAAATCGATTAACATATCATCGAATAAGTTCTTCCCTCATCAGACCTGAGCCCAAAGTTTACTTTAATCGCTACACTTACACCATCACATTCACAACCACATCTAGAGCATTTCAAGCATGTTCCAGTGATACATTGGTTTACTTTTAATTTAGAAGTTAACTTCTCCATGTTTGTTCTCATAGACTCGGATCAGGTCACGGGTACAGTCACGTGTCTGGTCCAGTGGCCTAGACCTCGAAAATGGTGCCAAACGCTCATTTTCTCTCTCACCAAAACAGCTCAAACCTTTTCAGAATGATTATTATTTTTTTTTTTTACTTATCCACATCACGGTGCCGGGCAGGATACTGTGGCATGTGTTGAAACACACGGTTTATAGGAAATATTTTATGTTTTATATATATCCCTTATTAAGTGAGCTTACTGTGGCAGAAGTTACCTGCTCTAAAGGTAATTATGCGAAAAGAACAGTCGAAATAAACTAAAAATACAATAAATAGTGCACATTTCATTAAAGGCTACAGTAAGAAAGTTTTTCTAAGACATGTACTAAAGTTATTTAAGTTTTCAAAATGAAATATCTTATATGAGACGGAATTGTATTCTTACACCATTAAAACTTTTTTGTGCCGACTATCAATATTTCGAAGGATTTAACTCAAGAAAGATGTGTACATGAAAAATACACTTCTTACTCAACTAGATAATCAACGTGAGTGAAACAAGGTTTAAATGACTCTTTATGTTTCACTAGCATAGTCAGGTGCCTGTGAATGTGAATAATGTGTTCAGTCATAATAGAAGTTGTAATTATCTTGACCAATCAATACGCTTACCTTGTCTTTCGTTAAAAACGTGACTAGAAAACATGATGGATGGGGTGTGTATGCTATATCGAACTATCTACATATAAGACCTATTAAATGTTGTTTTTGTTTCTTTTCGTAGTTGGTATTACCATGAACATCTTATTTTTACAGGAAGAAAGCCAATTCACAAGTAAACTTTACAGCTCTGACTTTTACCTTCATAGTCATAAACCGTTCTATCTGGTCGAACTGAGCATATGTATTATGAATTTTACTTCGAAGTTTCAGTCAAAAGACAAATTCATGCATAAGAGTATTGCGTCTGAAATAGGCTGAAGGTCATATTGCGTTGAAAGCAATAAAACGTGTTATTATTACACTAATTTATCATTAATAATGACAAATACGTTTAAACTACAAGTATCATATTTAGGCGAAATTAGTCTAAAATGTTTCATAAATGACAAACAAATGAATGTATTTTTTGTTTTACTTTTTTTGCACTTATTCATTTAATAACTTTTTCTGTTTGATTTAAAATAAATAGAAAAGAGAGAGTCAATGTGTTGAAAAATTGGTATTCATGCTATGTTTTTATTATTATTGTTTACTTAATTTTTCAGAGAAAGTGATTGGTGTGGTAGGTATGAAAGTGGCTATCCCTTGTAACATTACACCACCCAGTCCAAATGATGACGTTTCATTAGTTCTGTGGTATCGTGGAGACACATCTAATCCCCTCTATAGCTTCGATGCCCGAAGAGGCAACACGGACCGAGGCCGACATTCTCCGACAGACAGTCTCTCGAATCGTGCCATGTTCAGTGTTATTGACAGACCGGCTGTTTTGATATTGGATCCCGTTAGACCAGGAGATGCTGGGACCTACAAATGTCGTGTAGATTTTCGTATCGCCAGAACGAGATATTCGGAGGCTGAGCTTTCCGTTACCAGTAAGTAATATTTGATTTTCTTTCTTCATAGCTGAGAGAATGGACACAATTTGTCAAGATAGGATCACGATTACAGACCCGACTTTTTTTATTGTAGTATGAGAATGCTTTTAATGATAAGTAGAAGAGAAAAATTTTCTCTTTCTTCGCTTTCGCTTGCGATTCAATAGACAAAGAACATTCCTTTCATTACCAGCTATTACATAAACTGTTGTAAATTAGACAATTATTAAATTAATTAAATGTGATTTTTTAAAATTTCCTTGTCCTTTATATAGCCCCCAGTTGCACAGAAGCATGTCTGTGGGCTCACAATCCTAGAATCCAGGTTTCGATACCTGTGGTGGGCAGAACACAGATAGCCCATTGTATAGCTTTGTGCTTAATTACAAACAAACACAGCTCTATCAAAGATATTTTCTTTTAGGTACGATTGCTTTAGTTGAAGCTAGTACCGTTTTAAGTTATAGTAGGGACACATATTTTATGAAACGTTTCATCTAATTTTACTGAAGCTATTCCCATTTCTAGCTACTATATGTTCTTTATGATTATGTAAGTGCAATGTGTAGCTATATGTCATAAAATGCACAAATCTACTGAGTGCAAAATATATTTCTGATGATAAAATCAATATAGGGTCTGTCTAACACACACACGTAATTTCTTCTTGCTATCTATTTAAATGATACACAGACTGAAATAATCTTTATAAGATTTATAGTCAGACCCTGAACAATTTACAGGGTTATCTGTGCGTACGTTATATTAAAAATGCGTCACTCTATGACGTAAACTAGGCTTCCTACTGTGGTGACTATGCTTCTATCTGATAGATCCTTGTCTAAAAAGACATTGAAAGAATTATGATTAGTTGTACACATCGTAAAACTACATTAATTTCCAATAATGTACACACGTGTGGTATTCAGGTTCACTGATGCTCAGCAGAAAAGTATTAAATTATTTGCTAAAGTAAAACGACGTCGGACAACGAAAGGAAGAATCATAAGCGAACATATAAAAACATCTTTGTTCATAAAAATTAATATCTCGCCGGATATATTCTACTAACTGGCCAGTCTAATTCTGTTGTCGTTTAACTAGTTGCTGAGGTTCAAAAGAGGAATATTTCTTGTAAACATCTGTACCAGACAAAGACAAAGAAAATCCTGGTTTATCGTCGACATTCAGATAAGGTTAAAGGTGCAGTGTACTAGAACTTAACGCTGTACACGAACCGGCGATTCCAAACAGCATATATATATATATATAGGGAGGTAAACCTTTTAATTCAGATCTATTTAGTAAAGTATCTGTAACATCTGTTGG